GAATTACGCACGATCGAGAACCTTCTAGAACATTCTAGAACCTTCTAGAACATTCTGGAAGCTTCGACGGTTCGTGTCCGTGCTAAGTCGGGAAGGATCGCTCCCAGAGCCGGCGGTCCTCTCGCGCGACGTATTGAGACAGCCCCTTGCCCCCCACCCCGGAAAGCCATCCAGAAGCTTCGACGGACCCGTACACGTGCGTGCAGGTTTCGGACGTCAGCCCTCAGCCCGTTTGACCTCGAACGTTATCTCGCAGAATTGCGCAGCATCGCTGATGCAATCCTCCAGGAATTTTCCAGAACTTTTGTCCCTAACTTCATCGCGCAGGCTAGTGCGTAGCATCGGTGAATCAGAGAGAGATAGAGAGAGAGAGAGACGAGCGGCATACCCTTTGAGCGCAGTGCCGAAAAGCGGTTTCGGCGACTTTTGCGTCGAGGTTGATTCCAGGAAAAACGATACCCTTCCATGCAGGTTTCGGACGGCAGGCGATTCGACCTCCTCATCCCATTGAGAATCCCCCATCCCCCGATTCGTCAGCTTCGTCAACCCACTGAGAAGCTTCGTAAATTCCCCATCCCCCAGCTTCGTGCGAGAGCACCGGCGAGTTCAAAGTCATCTATGTATCGGTTGTTCGAATGCGCAATACAGAACGTTATCTCGCAGAGTCGTGCGTCGAGAATGCGGTGTAGGCGATTCGATTCCTAGAAATCTGCGAAACCTCCCATCCCCATTTTTTAACCCTTGATAGTTTCCTATAAAAGGAGGAGCTGAACGTACCTTCGTTAGTTTGTTGCAACAATTTGGCTGATACCGAATAAGAGGAGACAACGCGAGTTCGAGTACAGTTACTGTTAAGGAATGTCAGAGAAGTGAAACAGTTGATCGAAGCTAGAAAAGGTCGTAAAAATCTCCTAATAAATTTGAAGAAATTCGATATTAATTGAACGCAATGGACTTCTCGACAATTAACAAAGTGGCTCGTTTGGACTCATTTCTTCCAACGAAAAAGTTTGCGGAATTAGAGATTCAAAAGGAATACAAGATTAGTTGTATTCGGAAAATTGAAACAAAATACGGAACGAGAGTAATCGTCGCCATTGAAAACAGCTTCTCGACATTTCTACCAGCGAGGGTGTCTAAAGTCTTGAAAGACGATAACAATTTGTTCCAAAACATGGTGCGTGCTGTCGACGAAGATCGACTCCTCATGCGCTGTCTCGGTGGGCAGTATAATCAGATTGAATTTCAATGTTTGTAATCGTGCTCTTAATACTATGTATACGTGTTAAATAAATATATATATATACAACTTGTTATTATATCTTATGTCTTTATTCACAATCAAAAAATACATTCCAACAACAACCAATTCCTTAATAATTTAACGTTTTCCATCGAACATTGGAAATGGGAGGCATGATGATGCGAACAGCGAGTGAGTAAGTTCTTTCGCAGATTTTGCAGCGAAGGGCATCCCAGATCTCCCAGATCCGCGATGTGTTCGGTTCGTTCAATGAAAGCTCCCAACCAAACTTTCTTCTCCAATCCTTTTACATAGATCTTAGATGCATTTTGCAGAATAACTCGAAGAATGTTTCTAGCTTGATTGTAAGCAATGTCCCCAGCGCTCCAGGATATACCATGAAAATTGCGCTCCAACCATAAATTTATACTTTTGTATTTAGCCGGAAGATGCTTCCATGGACAAGGTGGTTGAAACAGGAACGTTGCAGGTTCGGAGAAATTGTTGTCGACTCCAATCACGGATAGCTCCTTCAGGACAAACTCGTTCGACGGTTTCTTGAAACGTTGTACGTCCACGATAAATTCCATTTTTATGAACTGCACAGGGGGGCTACGATTACAGCGTCTTTATACCAATTTCTTCACCCCACCACTGATCTAGCAAGTTACGGTCGAACCTCCTTAACAACGCGCGAGTCGAGGCGGAATCAGTATTTGAAAACAGAGTGATCTCCTATCGAGGAAGCCGCTGCCTATATCCTCGAAAGGAATACGTTATTTTTAGTGGGGATAACGATCTTTATTCTCCCAAAGTGTTAACGTCGCTCTTTGGATTTTATAATTTGATTTATTATTCGATGTGACTATTTGATTTGACTGATTGGACTAGCGGTTACTTCAAGGGCGGGATACAAGTCCCGCATGAAATGTCGTGCGGGAATGTTACGATTCCTGCACACTCTGAACTTATCAAGAATGGACCATTTTGTGCTTGTTTTTTGGTGCAAAAACTGTATACTTTCCATACAGCGTTGCAAAATAGTACATTATGATTGTCACGGTGAAGGCCATTCTACAATGCAAAGAAACACGGAACATATAAGCGATAAGATCTTCAATTATATATTTACCTAATTCCATTGGCTCCTCCAATCAAAAAGGTGAAAATCGTTTTTAAAATTGAGCGTTTACTAGGTCTCTACAATTTTGGTGACGCCTTGTCTGTGTGACGTGTCAAATGTCATTACCTGTCACCTGTCATGATCTGTCAATATATAAATATTTAAAAAAATGTGTATGCGTTTATTCTTACACATAAGTAAATCATTACCTTATTTTTAAAGTCACGATGTCTTTTATCGTAGAGAAATTTGATTTCTCTAACGATATTGATAATGACCTCGCCTATAGAGTTGGTAATGACAGGTGACAGGTAATGACATTTCACGCATAGAAATATTGGCGAAATATTACGTATTTCACGGAGCACAGAACGTGATGAGTAGCATCGAGCATGCCACGTTCCGTAATCTCCAACGGCTTGCGTTAAAAACACATAGTAACGATACTCAACGATACGCTTCCGTATCGTTGCTATGTCCAAGACGTCACCAAAATCGTAGAAACTTAGTAAACTCTCGGTTTTAAAAACGATTTTCTCCTTCTTGATTGGAGGATCCAATGGAATTAGGTAAATATACAATTGAATGTCTTATTGGTTATTTCTTCCGTGTTACGTGATCCGTTGCATTGTAAAATGGCCTTAAGCCCATTACAGTGCACGGAACGGGGCATGATCGATGCTACTCATCACGTTCCGTGCTCCGTAAAACACGTAATGACCCCACCAACCGCTTCCGTATTATTGCTATGTCCGAGACGTAGCCAAAATCGTAGAGATTTAGTAAAAGCTCGGTTTTAAAAACGATTTTCTCCTTCTTAATTGCAGGATCTAGTGGAATTTTGCAAATATACAATTGAATACTGCGCCGCTTACGTGTTCCGTGTCCCGTTGCATTGTAGAATGGCCTTTAAAAGTCCTATTTTCCTTTTCCTTTATTGGTGTCGCTGTGAGAAGTCGATAGGAGTTTTAGAATTTGAGGAGTTCTCTCAGATACTACTATGCACATCGACAGTGCGCTGTGTATTCCTATTTGGAGCTCTTGACGTATCTATCATCGAGAATTGGATAAGTTTTGACATATATATTGTAACGTTCCGCTCTTATACCCCCTGTCCTCTATCGCTTTTCCTTTCTAATCATCCAATTCTCGATGGTGGATACATCAAGAACCCCCCATAACACTGCACAGCGCACTGTGGATGTGCATAATAGTATCTGAGAAAACTTCTCAAATCCTAAAAAATAAAGAAAAGGAAAAACAGATTTTTTAAATTCCTAATATTACATAATTTCGCTCGCTCGCTCGCTTCGATGCTCGCTTGGCGTAAACCCGCTTTAACATTCCTGGAAACCAAACTCCAGTCGTGTGACTGGAATCAACACAAACAAGCTTTACCTGCCGGCACGCGCCAAATACGATAGAAAAACCAGTAAACCGGTAGTTGAAGAAGCCGCTAATTCAATGTGTCAAATCAAATGGTGAAATTAAATAATATATCAAATACCAAATCTAAAAAGCGACGTTAACACCATGGGAGAATAAAAATCGTTATCCCCAATAAAAATAACGTATTCCCCTCGAGAATATAAGCAACGACTTCCTCGACAGATTCGGCCTACTCGACTCGTTCGTTGTTAAAGTTCGTGTATACCAAAAGACGACACGAAGCAGTAACGATTTCGGAAGTATAATCATCAAGAATTGAGTAGGGAATCTATTCCACATTCCAGAGCGAACCAGTGAACAGTGTTGTACTGCAAACTATGGGAACTCATCCTTGGCAATTCCTGGTCTTGGAGAGCATTGTATCTCATCTCTGTATCAGGAAATCTGCTATCCATGTAGATCTTCTGTAGCAAAGTCATTATGCCGGAGCTATCAGAAATCGATCAAAAACACCAAGCCTCTCTCCTTAAAAAGCTCAGCTTCCAATATCATTGTGATCAGTAGCTGTCTAAGTTCCTCACAGTCCATACTAGGCTTAAGGAATCATTGTGATACCCCCTAGCCTCAGGAAGGACATCCCAAATACCTCTGCATCATTCTGCAGTGAAGTTATTGTAGTAGAACTGTCAGGATTGTAGATCCACCTCAATACAACCCACCTAAAAGGCTCAGCTCCCAATGTCATTGTGATTAGTAGCTGTCTGAGTCTAAACTATCATCAAGATAAGAGATTCGGCAATCGGGGGTCATTGCGATCATCTGTGAATTCTGAATCATTATCATCTCAATCATCAGCTGGCCTACAGTCACGGGACGCATGTGCAATTTGCTGTATTTTAGTTCCAGCTATCTCTTTCCCACTCCTAGAAGCTAGTATAGGGAAAAGATAATCAAATACACTTCTTGTGTCCTGCGGTACAATAAGAAAGACTGTACACAATTATAAGTGTACACATTTATAAAAAGTCTCGTGATTCCTAATCCTCTAAAATCGTAAAACGTCTCAATATTAATAACTTTGCTATTGTAGTTATAATTCGGTGGTAGGCAGTTAAATCTGGAAGCTTGTTTGATGATATTTCCTTTTCAATGTTGCAATTAGTTACAGCGATGTGCATAGTGTACAGTACGTGTTATGTTCCCTTCGGGATTGTCCTTTAACAGTTAATTGATATTGTATAACTGATCTAGTAAAATAGATCTATTGCCTAAGTAGTTTGGCTAGCTGTATATATGAAAAAGAAATACAGATAATATGACTATTTGAATGAAAAGATGATCAAGTTAATAAATTCGCTGAGTTACCTATCGTGCTTCAAAATTGACACGTGTGCCTTTTTCCGTGCTAAAGGCAAAAGGGAAGAGCTAAACGGTTGGAGGCTTAATTTGCACGATAAGTAACGAGGAGGGGTTAACTAACCCGTTTGTCCTGCAATATTATGGACATTTTTGGAATTATCTGGGATCTCAGTCGATAATCCATTACAGTATTCTTTTCTAGCGTCCCCAATTAGGATAATAGTCAATTATCTAATTCTATTACATCTATGAATATATACACCCATACTTCCTTCATACGCATTTATTCCTTCATCTATACATTTATACATTAAATTAATACAGAATAATACGAAGCGATCTTTGTTGATATATAGATATATATGTATATTGTGACGTGTTTTAGGTTATATTGACCCAGGGTCAAAATCTACCATCAAATTCAGTCGGAACACTATGGAACAAAATCCACTGTTAATTTATTATAAGTTTTTTAAGTAATTTGTAAGCATTTTTCGCCAACGCGTCAGCTGATCGTTGCGCTTCGTGTCATGGCGTCTGGGCCTGAGTCGTAATCCACACACACACATCAATTTGTTATTCTCTTTTCTTCAGGTATTCCAATTTCTAATGAAAGGTAACTGACTTTAGTTTGTTAAGTTCGTTGAAAGTCCATTATTAAACAATACATATTCATTTTTAATTCTCTTTTTTTCAGTTACTCCGATTTTTAAAGGAAGGTAAGTAACTTTAGTTTGTTAAGTTCATAAAAAATTCATTCATAAACAAATCAAAAGCAGTATCATATTCTCGATCATCGTCAATTCACAATAGCCATAGTAAGTATCAATAAGAATTTAAACTTACTTTCTCTGATAGTAACACTTGAAACAAGTAAATACTGCTTGTCATTCGTTCTCAACCTTGTTAAACTGCTATTGATAAGCAGATTTCCCCCAAGGACTTTCCCCCTCATTCCAATACCATTTTACGATTGTCAATGATAGATAATCCATTGTTTGATATATCCACAAAACAAAGAGAAATAAAACATAAAAACTGATTAAATTTTATTATATTTCATATAGATGCGCAAAAATACATACTGGTACATCACATCAGGAGGCTACCCTACTGAAGAAGAAGCACACTTTGCGAATAAATCAACTACGTTGACGGATCCATTGGCTGCGAATTAAATTGCTAAAACCATTTCCCCATTGTCACCAGGAGGTAATCTATTCTCTGAGATATCTGGAATACATACAAAAATAAAACATGGAAACCATAATTACATTTTCTCCATATACAGGGTGTTCCGAAATTACCTGGCCCAGTGGATATGGCGGTGTTCGGGAGGCTTCACTGATCACGAAAATGACCTACGAACTCTGAGTTTCTTCCCTCGCTTTTGTTTCTCGGTGGCTTCGAGCGACGTCAGCCGAAGACATGCCTATTCGATGTCACTCACTGAGAACAGAAGTTCTCAGTTGAACAGTCAAGCACTAACTCAAAACTGCAATGTTCTATGATAATGCCATTTGACTTACACAGATAATCTCTGTGACGTTTTACGTAGATTAACCTGATCTCGGTTTGCTTCCATTGATCTCCAGCGATTCTTGCTACATCCGATGGAGGATTATACATGCTTCACCTTCAGATAGACAAAAACTGATTCGGTCACAGCAGCAGAAATTTTAATTTTTTTCCGGCTGCGAGGAGTTATTCAACTTTCACGTGTAATTCAACGGGAGATAGATTTCGGATTTACTTACTGTGAGAGATCTGTGTTATATCTTACAAGGAATATAAACTCTTAAGGAATATGATTTATAAATATGAAAAGTCGTCAATTGCATTTGCATTTTATTGCGATTCGTCAACGAGATGTAGCACGAATCGCTGCAGATCAATGAAAGAAAGGCGAGATCAGAATAACCTACGTAAGATGTCACAGACATATCTGTGTAAGTCAAATGGCATTATCATAGGACATTGCAGTTTTCAGTTAATGCTTGACTTTTCAACTGAGAACCTCTGTTCTCAGCGAGTGACATCCGATAGGCATGTTTTCGACTGACGTCATCCTGCCCGATGCCACAGAGACACAAAAGCGAGGGAAGAAAACTCAGAGTTTGCAGGTGCCTACGTTTCTCTTGACGTCTCGCTCTGATTGGTCAACTTTGACCTGCTCCCATTTAAAAACTATGACCTTCTGGATAAAAAGGTCATTTTCGTGATCAGTGAAGCCTCCCGGTCACCGCCATACCCACCGGGTCAGGTTATTTCGGAACACCCTGTATACAAAAATACAAACCGTCTACATCAGAAGACTCCTCTACTGAAAGTGCAAGACATTGTACTTTATCCGATACTTCTAAATCATGTTTTGTGACCTCAGCATCCCCAATCGATGACAGAGGAGCTAAATATTCAACCAATGAAATCCTGACAGTCCTAGCGTAAGTGTCGATTGGGCTTGTAAGACTTAGAGCATCCAGAAACTTCATTATCGAGTCAACAGCCCTCTTGTCGTCCAGGTTTTCATCAAACCTTGTTGGTACAGGAAGTTCACTAAATTGTGGATACTTATAGGGAGTTTGCAATATAGAAAAATATTATTGTATTTGGAGCTCTCTTACATCGTACATAAAATTTGTCAATAAACTTACTTTTGCAATGATCTTTAATTTATCATTCGAATTATATTTTATCCACTCGGGACAAATGTATCGGTCTTCAAAATGTTTTTCGCATATGACGTGCATAGCCCGCAGATTCACATTACCAGGAATGGCTGCTTCCCATGTTTTGAGCTGCTTTACGTCCTTTGGCACACGCAATACGGAACGTTTCGTTTTTTCACTCTTGTAGCCCTTTCCTTCCTTTCCTTTCTTCCTTTCTTTATGACTGTATCCCCAATGGAGGACATGTGCCAGTACTCTTGTAGCCCGTTCTACACTTCGGTACAGCACACGGCTTCGTCATGATAAGAAAGAAAATTTAGAGGTTGTGTTCGCAACATTACTCTACCGCAGCGCTAACTAGTCGCTGCGTCGGGAAACAAAAAATGTTAGCGTAAGCTTTCATCCCCCATCACGCGAAATTGGAAAAGTATCAAGACCTGTATGTAAGATCGTGCTCGTGACAAATATTAAGGGAAATCTGAATTCTATCGAATTTTCTCCAACTTTCTAGAACATTTTATGGATTTCTATTGATTTTTCTAGATTTTTCCAAATTGTTTTGGATCTTTCTAGATTTCTCTGAAACCTTCCAAAATTTTTTGGAGCATTCTATGGAATTCTATTGAATTTTCTGGAACTTTCTAGACAGCGAAAAAATGAATCAAATGAAAAGAGAGAAGTACGTTTAGCTTCACAACAGGAGAAACGCTGTATGAAAAAAACAGAATTTTCCCAATATCCTGAAATATTCTGAAAGGATATCCATTCCAAAACATAAACTTGTTCGATGGGGGATGGTATGCTACCACACCATTTAACCCTCATGGGGCTCCAGCGGTTGGTGTGGAGTTGAAGCTACGCGCACAAATACACTACACTTTCTTTTATTATATGTATATATACTATATTGATTTCTGGGGACTGTCGGTAAATGATCATTACAATTTCGAAAATCTGATGTAACGACTATTAAATATTTTTTGATTGTGTATCGAATGGGTGTAATATTATTGTCCATTTAATTTCCGTTCGCAATTTTAAAAAATTATCTTTGTCATTTTAAATGATATCAAAAAAATATAAATGCTAAAGTTGTGGAGCAAGAAAAAATAATAAAGACGAAAAAAATTCGTACGGATAGCATACGTGATAAAGGAGATATTTGCGTTTGAAATTTTGTCATTTTTTGACAGAATTAGGTATTGGCAAAACGTCTTAGCTTCGTGCAACAGCTACACACCAAACTCATGATTTGCAATTGTTATGACGTAAGCGTTCAGTCAGACGCAAATCCGTACACGGTGGCTAAAACATATTGCAATGCTATTTTGTATTACAAGTTGGAACTTTTTCCGTATTTCTGGATGTAGATTTTGGAGTATTCGTGTTCCTCGCCGTAGATTTTGGTGTCTTCGTGTTCCTGGAGGCATGTTTTTGAGTCAACATCCAGAATCAACAAGAGACTCTAACTTCGCCACCGGAAGTTGCAAAGGGAAGCAAATTGGTGTGAATGTTATCCGGGCGAAATAAGACGATACGTATCTTCGTATTTCTCTGCTAGTCCTTTTTTTCAATTTGACGTATTTTTTTACAAAATCTATCGTCGACAAGTGTTCTCTAATTCTGCCACCGGAAGTCATAAACGGCTGCAATATCGTCCATCATACACACTTCCACGCTGGAATACAGACCACTTTGTATGCGTTACGACGGCGATATTGGTTACTGGATGCACGCAAAACAATCCGTAAGATTCTTCGAACATGTGTTACATGCTCTAAACTCTAATCATCGTCAAACGCCTACCTGATGGGCCATTCACCAGCTGCACGAGTAACTCAGGCTCAAACATTTAGCAGAGTCGGAATCGACTACTGCGGACCATTCTTCGTTAAAAAAAAAGCGACACAGAAATCCAAACCGAGTCAAGGTTTATGTTACCGTCTTTGTGTGCCTAGCAGTCAAAGCAGTACATCTCGAGGTAGTTAGCAGCCTCTCAACGCACGCATTCCTGGCAGCGTTATGCAGATTTTTTCCCCGACGTGGGATCTGTTTTGACATCTACTCTAACAATGGTATTAACTTCGTCAGAGCCAATAATGATATCAAGGAACTGTACTCGTTATTGAAGGACAAGCAGCACCGACAAAGGATGACCGTTTTTGCAACTCGCGCAGGTGTCACGTGGCACTTTATCTCAGCAACGGCGCCTAATTCCAATCATCACCTTCGCAGGGTAATTGGAACGAACTTCTTTACTTACGAGGATTTTAATACGTTCATAATAGAAATAGAACTCATTCTGAATTCACGTCCTTTAACTCCCTTCTCCTTTGACCCTAACGACCTTCTTGTATTGACACCTGGGCATTTCATCATTGGCGATTCATTAACGAGCTTGCCAGAACAAAATCTCAGAGACACTCCGATGAATTGTTTCTCGAACTAGCAATATCTTCACCAAGTCCATTAACATTTTTGGTTACGTTGGTATCGTGAATACATCAACGAAGTGACAATTCGTTACAAATGGACCACAGGACAACCAACCATCAAGGAAGGGACCACAGTGGTGTTTAAAACGAATAACTTGGGGCGGCCGTAGCCCAGTGGTTAGGGTAGCGGATTCAGGACCGAAAGGTTCGGGGTTCGCGCCCAGCTTCCAGCGGCATTCACCAATGGGTTTTCATATGAAAACTTGAGTGCTTATTTATACGGATTTCGCCCAACACTGTTCGGATTCGGTGTATAAACTTTGTAGGTCCTCACGCTGAGTTGAATAAGGCGCGTCTCGCAAGGTACATCGCCATCTATTGTTGAACTTCCAAATTTGATTATTGGGACCAGTTACTGGCATATGTCCCCTATCGGGGATGCAGCTATAAGGAAAGGGAGGAAAGGAAATGAATAACTTACCGCCATTGCAATGGGTCACGGATAGAGTGATCAAGCTTCACCGAGGGGCTAACAGAATCATCCGGGTTGTGGCTGTCAAAAAAGCCCACAGCACATTCGACCACAGTGTTAAAAAGGATGCATCCTTGCCGATCCCAGCAGACAACGAACAGTCCGCGTTGTCAGCTGTCGAGGTTTCCAATGACAAGCAGTGAATTCAGTGAATTGTGAGCTATAAACTTATTGACCACTGAACTTTAGAGATTATATCGCGTAAGAAATTCGTAGCTGAAGTTTCGCTATACCCACTTACAAGGAAGGTCACCTTACTGTACCCCCGCAACCTGGGTTGAAAAAATGATATTTTGTAGTTCACATCAAAGTATAAATCCTCACACAAAATGGGGTGCTCACTTGCATATTTAAGGGATGAAATTAATTCCTGAAAATCGGTGGTTTTTTCGTTTTTCGCTGATATCTTCGAACCTAAAATAGATACGGCAAAAGTTTAAATAGCAAAGTTATTCATTTTTCAGTGCTCTGCAATAATATTTAGTTGAAAATTATATAGAAATTGTTTATTAATTTTATTTTCATAAAAAACGGGTTTTTTTATACATTTTCCTCTATTTTGTCATAATAAACTTAATTGTTTCGACTCAAAATTGAATGATTTTTCAATTTTCCATTCTATATAAAACTTTATTTAATATACATGTCTTCGTTTTATTTACTAGAAGCCTTTAATTCATGTATTAGAGCTATTAAGATGTCTAGTACTCATGAAAGCAGAAGGAAAAAGCAGGCCATACACTTATCAGTTTCTTCACTTTCATATTATGGAATATATTTATTACAATAATGATACTCTTCAAAGAAGTGGTTGTGACACAAAGGTTTTTTGCACCACGAACATGTTATAACAGCTAAATCACCACAAATGTGACATCGTGGTTCCGAATTATCTCCAAAACCAAACGTCACCGGATTAATGAACTCAGGGGGTGCTTTTTCTGTGTAGCCACTTTTGTACCATGCATATTTAAACATATTAATATAACGTGGGGAAGAAAGTTGATTGTGAACAAGTGACTGCAGTTTAATGATGTTATTTCTTAAATGCAGATTTACATTGTTACCGGAAAGAATTACTACATCTGAAAAATGCCTAACAAAATTTTTCCATATTCGAAAACCAAACACATCTAACGGATGTATTTGTCCTGTTGTTCCTTTTGGAATAATTTCTAATACAATTTTTTTGTTAGGAGGAGTTACTATATTAAGAACTCGGTCGAGTCTCGCGCCAAGTACAGGCAACCGGCTGTACAGGGCGCAGCGCGCCGAGA